CTTCTTTTTCAGGGGCAATTCACCAATATAACCAGATTTTGAGGCCATTTTCAGTCAGAAATAACGGGTACAAGACCATCACATTCCTCTTCAGCAATTACTGCAACCTGGATGCACTGATTATCAAGAGAAGTTTGTGGAAAAAAATCATTGGATGGTTAACCTTAAGGAGTACGGTTAATTTTGTTGTACTTCCACCTTTTGAAGAAACGGTAGCCTTGCACATAATACAAATAGCTATGTTGATTGACACTAACTGGCCTTTTTCATTGGCTAGTTGACTGAAATGTTACCAAACAGAAAATTTAGTTTTCTTTATTTTAAACAAATCATTCATACTTTGGGCACTCTAAACCATGGTAGGATCCATCTTTCAGCTGCAAAAATTTGAATATTTATTCAAGTTTTAAGTAGAAAAACTAGGGGTTATATGAAAACCAAAAACATATTCAAAATTTTATATTTTGTAGCGAATAATGACAAAGGGATATTACCAAAAAAAATGGATACACTATAAATAACTTAATTGAAAAAAGATATTTCCTTTTAAATTTAGAAGCATTAAGTTTGTTTTAACTTATCAATGAAAAAGAAAAACAAGTTTTGAAACATTAAATTCATAAAAAAAGTTAAAATAAAATGTCTTGTGTCAAATGACAATCCGGTGGTAAAAAACAATGTGGCAAAATAAAATATTAAAAAAATTTTAAACATTTTGGTTTTTATTTATTTCATACTACTGTTAAGTAAAACTAACTACATAATTATAAAGTAAAACTAATTATATAATTGTAAAGTAAAACTAATTATATAGCTGTATAGTAAAACTAACCCGAAATTTTAAACTTTTTTTTTATTATTTCTAGCAGCAGCACTTGATGTGTACATCATTCACTGGAGTGTAAAAACACTCCACACTGGCCCATAAGGAATAAGAAAAAAATTTTCAAAATTTAAAAACATTGAAACATTCGAAATATAAAAACAATTAGAACAAAGAAACATTAAATATAATATCAACAGAACTAATCTCGCTCTGTTTACAAGATTGTGATTTATATAATACATATGTAAAAAAAATTGCTAATTATATAATTAATTTGCAGCCTATTACTACAACAGTATATAAAGTATGGATAAAAAAAATTTAAACACTAAATATTTATTGGGTCAATTCTTTTTTAAAAGCATTTTTGATCTTTCATGCTTTTACACATAATACAAGAAGTATATTAGAATCCAAGTATTAAGTAAGTGAACTTAATATAAAATTTAAATAAAAGTTTGTTAAAAAACATTCTCTTTTTTTACGGTAAATTTAGAAAGTAGTTATTAATTTAAATTCATACAGCATAATAAGTTGATGTAAAATTTTTTTAGTTCTAAGGATAATTGTACTAGGCACTTATATTTGTTACAAAATTTTTATATTCATTATTTTAAAAAAGATTTATTACAAATGATTACCTAATAATAATTAAGAATGGAAATATAATTGAAATTTGTTCATTTACAAAATTGCCAAAACAAAGTAAAAACAAATGGATTCCGATAATTTTAAAGTATTTAGATTAAAATCAAGAACTTTCTTGATTGAAAAAGTATCGTCATTAACTTCTCTCATCTAGTATAAAAATTATAGACTTTAATTACTCTGTTGCACTTGTACAGAAAATCTTATTCAGTCTGTACTTCTATTTAAAATATTAGTGCTAAGTTACTATAAATATTATTCAATTAAAATGTATTTTATCTTGTTGAAGATACAATTTCATATAACAGAATTCGCTGTAACAGATTTATCTGTAAAAAAAATTTCTGTTACCTAACTCACAAAGCCAAATGTTAAACAGATACAGATTTACAATCTATTCCTAATGCTTTATAGTCAATAATTATTAAAAAAAGTTATTGCAATTATAAATTTGTAATACAACAAATAAAACTATTATGATCTTGAATAAACAGTCCTGAATTGCTTACATAATTTTGTTTGATTTTATGATAAAACATTTCTCCGTAAATAAAAAAAAATTACTACTTTGATGCTTTCTCTACATGCAATAGTTTTCAAAATAGACAAAATAAATAATCTCGTGGATATCTGTAATAAGTCACATATATGTCAGTCAACAGAAACTCATCTATGTATCATAGTTTTAGTATAAAATTTTCTATTTCTGGCAGCAACAAAAAAAAATCTCAATGAAGAATAAATTATTTACAAAGTAAAAAATCATAATTTATTTTTCTTTTACATCATACAACCTGCAACGCAACTTTTTAGATAAACTTTGTTGGCAATATTAAATTTAATAGAATCAAGTTTTTGAAAGATTAAGATATCGCTCGAATATCCAATAAGAATATCTCTGAGATATCCAGGTAATACATACAATTGATGTATAAAAGAAGTCCCTCAGATATCTCGTGGATATCTGTAATAAGTCACACATATGTCAGTGAATAGAAACTCATCTATGTATCATAGTTTTAGTATAAAATTTTCTATTTCTGGCAGCAACAAAAAAAAAAAATCCTAATGAAGAATAAATTATTCACAAAGTAAAAAATCATAATTTATTTTTCTTTTACATCATACAACCTGCAATACAACTTTTTAGATAAACTTTGTTGGCAATACAAAAATGGATATAAATAAAAATTATCTAAAAATAATATTTTTATAAAAAATTACAAAAAGATATTTTAAAACTTCTTGCTTTTTTTTGTACTAATATTTTCTATCAATGTTAATCTTCTGATTCACAATAATAAATTTTGAGCTTAAGATTGATATTATCACAATTCTTTAAGTCATTTTCATATAAGTTTGCAAAATTTCCATTTCCTTTCAAATTTCATCAAAATCTAATATGTTTCAGTTTTACAACTTATAGGTTAGTATGACCATTTAGTATGACCATTGAAGCTTAATTTCATAAAATAACAAATGTTTGAAAAAATAATATTTTTACTATCAGAAAACTACTTCATTAAAAAGCATTTTGTATTAGCGTATTTTGAGGAATCATCATGAAAAGAAAGATCTATAAAACTAATAAATGTTTTATGGAGTATGTAGTAAGGATAAAATACATGAAGATAAAAATCATAAGTGTAAATTATTGCTCTTATTTACACACAACAAGGAATTTAAACATGTACATTTATTCAAAGGGCTATAGTGGGCCTGGCCTACTTAGACATGTGATTGACTATCGCAGAAATATTGGATATCATCACTTTCAAAATAGAAACAAAAATATTTATTTCATGTATCATTTTGTTTAACAAGCTGTAACTTAAGCCTGTTTCTCTATTGACCATAAATTATAAAAGTTTTTTTTTCTATTTACTGTTCAAAAAAGCAAGATCAATTAGAAGTTAAAACTAGATGAATAGCAAAGATAATTGTATAACAGTTATTAAATATAATAGACAGTATACAACTGTATAACTTCAAAAAAAAATTTGAAAACCTTTACAGCTTTAAAACCAAATTATTTAAATTACACTCATAATTATTCTAATTTATCAAATCTGAAACAAGTGTAATTCAATAAAGGGATTTTGTTCAAGACTACATTTAAAAAATTGTATATTAAAATACTGCAAAAAATTTATGACATAATTAAAATGAACATACTCATTGTTTTTAAATTCCAATCTTGTCAAGAAATAACATCAATTGAGCACATGGCCAAGACTTTATTTGATGAGCTGTTACCACAGGACACTTTTTGACTTGCTCAGGCTAAATGTGAAAAATTGATAAAATGAGATCCAATTAAAGGCATTACAAAAAGAATGAAGTTTTTTATTTTTTTCACAAATAAAGTTTAAAATTACTAAATTCAATTTAAAAGAAATAATTAAGAATAATTCATAGAGTAAAAAAGTTATTTTATACATTAGTATTTTCATTTCCTTAATTTAATTTTGGACTTCGTTAGATATCAACTATTTTATAAATTTTTAAGCAAACGTCTAAAGACTATGTTTATCAAACAATGCCCAAGATTCATTGTTTGGAAATTTAAATTATCACAGTTTTTCAATGAAAACCCTTAATCACTTAACAATCATTTGTCCCATTTCTCTTCATGAAAAAAGTGCTTTTCGAAATTTTATTTTTTCAGTTCAATTTCAGATTTGTTTTCTGCTACTTAGATAAGCAAATTTGAATTGTATACACATTTGAATTTTATTCTTTACATTAATTATTGTAAAATACATTTAAAATATTTTTTAAGCAAATGTTTCTTAATTTTGCACTATGTCAATAAGAACATTATATTTAAAGCTAAATGATGTTAAAATAAATGACATAAAAGTAAATAGTTTTTTGTTTTTCCTAACCTAAATTAATTATTATATGTGTGCGTATATTTATGTAACACATTTATCAATTTTATTTCTTTTCATCATTCTGTTATTAAATATATCTTTATAAATACATCTTATAATTGAAAAAAAAACATTTCATTAAATATCTCATTCTCCTTTATATTAAAATTCGTCACAATATGCATACATATTCGCACATTACTGAAATAACATTTAAATATTAAATACTATTTAACCTTGCGTTTAAAATAAAAATAAAAAATAAAAACACAACTTTTTTTGGGTTTTTATGAAGGAAAAAAAAAGATTGCCCTAAAACAGAAACTTAATCAGCAGACAGACTTTAAAGTGCTTTATCTCATAGATGACAATTTTGTGTTTTAATCTTAATTAAATCCCTGGCTAATTTTTCCTATTTAAGAGGAAGCTTTAAAGTAAACTTTTTTATCTTAAGTATAAAACACTTATTTAAACTGCGTCTGGGATAAGCATTTTATGAGGTATTACAATTTTTACAGCATGTTATATATACCTATCAGAAATTTTTAATCTTTTTTTCTACTTTTTTACAAAATAATCAATAAAAAATGTTTTAATTGACATATCAACAAATGAATGCATAAAATTGTTAAGATGAATATTGTAAGCAATAAAAAAAAATTTAAAATATGTTAACATAAAAGCTTTAAGGATTTATAAATGTAATTTTTTCTTTTAAAGTTTAAAAAAATTTAACAGTTTAACTATTTTTTGAAGATAAATTATTGATTATAAGTTAAATGAGCGTGTAAAGCATCCACAAAAGGAATGATAATACTTCTATTTTTAAAAAATGTTGCAAGAGTACTGTGACTCCTTAAGCAACAAAAAGTTTTGTACGTATAATGAAAACTTCTATAAATGAATATTAATAAAACATATTAAACAAATTACTACACATTAAACAGAACTTGAAAAAGATGTGTTATCACAGCCATTAGGATGAAGTCTATTAAGACCATGCTCATTTAATCCTAAAAATAAAATAAAATATATTAGAGATACATGTTGTAGGAAATTATTAACAGTTTGAAATCTCTAACTTTTTGGATTGGTTAAATAGGTCGGCATCATACTGCAACGAACTTGATTTATAAGGTTAATGGCAACAATCTTCGTTAAATGTTCTACAAATGTCACTATGCATGGGTGCCAAATTTGTTGAAATGTTTGGAATTAACAGAATAGTAATGAAAAAAAAATTTTTATACTGAATTCCATGCGTTTAAAAAAATTATTCTAAATTTATTATTCTAAACTGAAGGCTTCTGTAACGAATATTATAGAAATAAATAAGTACAGAAGTTCTTCCGTGAGTTGNAGTCTGGAAAAATTTTAAAAGAAGGGCCAATTAAGGCTTTAATTTTAGGAACATTTTAGGAATGCAATTTGTCAGCTGTAACATAAATTTACAAATATTTTTGGATGACAATTGCAAACAGCTTTTTAATTTTTCTGGAAAACGGCTACACTTGAGAGGTTTCTCCATCCACTCCCCTTTCCCCCATGAGATGAAGCATTTTAAATTTAAATGTTGAAATTTTAAATTTACGTGCTTTCTGTGAACTGACAGCAAGATTTTTCCACCAGCTAAAAGAAATATCTTTTGGACTTTGAGAATTTTATTTAGGATTTTTTAGATAATTAATTTTTTATATATTTTGTTAATTTCCCAGTTTTCCTTATTATCTAAACTCAACATTTCACTCAGTATGTTGAATTTATTTACAAATGTTATAGCTTTTTTTTTTACTGAATTTTTGATAAATAGTACTCCTAAATCTTTATGGGGTAATAGCTTTTAAGTGTTATAGATGGTGAAGAACAGGATATTGAGGAAAAATCATTTTACATAGCTTATATTATAACACTGGTAAAAGCATACTTAATGTTAATGATAATTATTCTTAATGTTGTTGATAAAAATTACTTTACATGATATTTACTATTTTAGACAATGTATTTGTTAACAAAATTAAAAATAAAAACTGAAATTCCGATTTATGTATAAAATGCATTGCAGTGCAATGCTATTGATGTGTATGGTTTTAATTTTTTAGGTCGATAGAAGTCAATGAAAACTGCATTTATCTAAAAACAGAGAACTTTAAATTCAATTTTTTAATAATATTTATTCATGCAAATAAATTCTAGTGAAGTTTCATTATTTCATGTGTCCCAATTTCTGTTTTTTATTCTACGCAACTGTCTCTTACTTCATAACATGTGTACCATAACATGAATTATGCAAATGAAAAGTTCTATTTTTTCCCCTCAAGCCACATTAAGTTTTCGGAACACTGAAGGAATAGTAGTCCCATTGGTCTACTAAATTTTTCTCGTTTGGTGTGACACTAAAAACTTACAATACTATAATTAATGCCTGACCAAGTTCTACAGGACAACGGAAGAGTCTGAAGTATCTGAAGCAGGCTTCCCCGACCCAGGGGTGACTATTTCCTCCAATCAGATAGCTTATTCTAGTCACTAACAAGGCTTGTTATAAGAGTGGGAAAAGAATAAAAAAAAAGCTAAAATACACACATCTACTCGTGAAAAAATCATTTTAAAAAAATGTAAAACTAATTTTCGTTATTTACATATTTATTTAAAGTTATCTTTAATTTGTGCACATTAACAGTCTAACAAACTAAAAATTATCATGATTAAATAGGATTACATAGTAAAGTAAAACAAAATAATGTAAAAAAAGAAATATTAAGAAAAATAGATACTAGAGAATTTTTTCTTAATGCAGGAATTTTTTTATGAAGTTTAAAAAGTTTGAAATTTTGTAAAGGGACAAGTCAGATGAATCTCATGCCTGGCTATAAAAGAAATCAGCTATAAAATTGAAATGTGAATTGAGATAATCTTCAATTAGTAACAGTCTTTAATAATTAAGAGTTTAAAAAAAAGGTTGGTAGATTTTGACTTAAAAATATTTCGTATTTCATGCAAATTTTGCAATCAATACACAATAGAATTATTTACTTAATGGACAGAAAACATTGAGAAAAATATTATAAAAACTTTAAAATGGCGAGCATAAATTATTAAATTGATCATTAATTTTTGCCAAAATTTAAACATTTTTGGCTGAAGCAATGTAAGAAAAGCAAAAGAACCATTAAATAAATTGTATGTGAAAGCTAAAAACTAATCTATAAAAATAAACAGACTTTAAATAAAATAATTTCATCAACAACAAATAATTTGAATGAAATGTTTATTATTTTACAATACTTAGTCAAAAACTATAATTTAAAAGAAAAACAAAAATTTTAAACATAGAAATGTTTAATAAAAAATTATTATATCTTCCTCTTACAAAGCAAATATCATGTTTAAAAAAAAGCCACAAAATATAAGTAAACAGCAAAAAAAGAAGAAATAATTACACCAGCATAAACAAATATTTTTGGCGAAAAATGTAGACCTCCAACTTATAAAAACGCATAAAAATTAAATAAAATAATTAAATTTATTGTGCCCAGCAAACTGAAAAATACCTTGTTTTCGAATCCTCTTGTGCACCGATACCACAAGGATAAATAGATCCAGAACCTGTGTTCATCATCCAGTGTACTTTGAAAAAAGCCATTTCAAACTATTTAACTGAGAATATGCTCCGAAAGAGAATAAAAAAATTTTATAAAATTTCAACTAAATATCCATAGAAGAGTATTTAACAATGTTTTCGAGTAAAGGCATGACAACTTACTTCATCGAAATGAAGTAAATTTTCATGCCTGGGAAAAAAATCAAAATTGAAGCAAAGAGGACAAGATTTAGTCACAGTGGAGAAAACTGACAAAC